CTCTAGGGACTTGTGCTCTCAAACCCCAAACCACATGAAGCTCACTCCATGGGGACTCATGGCACTCGTGGCCACAAATCGCCCGAAGCTGCGTGTGTTGCACCAACCAAATTAGCCTGCATGCCGGTTCATGCCTTGTAGTTGGCGGGCCATGTAGTTCCTGATGCACCTCTTTCTGGAACGGGCGCGGATTTGGCGGCCATTTGCCAACAGCGTAAGAACCGGAACATTCATGTCACCTACACGGCGCGGCCTGAGACCGAAACGTCCGTTCGTACACCGGTTGAAATTTCACGGCAGTCTCCTGCAGCTCCTGATTCCCAAACGACAAACATGAATCCTTCGTTTCGTGGATTAGGCTCGGGGTTTTAGGGCTTTTTTAACGTTTCAATGTATGGCTCTAACTTAGGTTTATTAAAACACCCATCACGTCCACGGTTTATTCACGCTTGAGGGCAGAGCAGAGGCGAGGCTGCGGCTGCACTGTACCTGCCTGCTCGGGTATTAGCTTTTCATCGCATCTCCGGACTATCTACCTTAACCTACCTAGGTTTGGGGCTTGGGGTTTAGGGTTTAAGGAGATAGACAGCCCCAAGCCTTGAACCGCATGGCAACATGCTTCAAATTAAAACCCGGAGGAGAGCACCGGGAAAGATGAATCCATAATGTACATACAAATATGCATGTATGTATGCATGCATGTATGTACACACCTATCTCCCTCTCTCTCTATATATTATATGTCTAAACAATATGTTATATATTTCTATATGTATATGGACATACGTATGCACATGCATACACACTACTCATATGTTTATATGATCTACCCGAACCCACCCATTCACTGAACTACTTGTTGATCCATTTGCATATCTTTTTCGTGGTTGTTGTGCATGTCTTCGTTTATGCGGATGCACCTGCTCTGAAATCAAGGATCCCAAAACCCTCAACCCTAAACCCCTAAACTTGCCCTAGACTCTAAACCCTCAACCCCTTAAACTCGAAACCCGCAACCCTAACGAGAAGTCCGCGGTTCTGAGGAGACCACCCTTCGGCCCTCTGGCGCTGTGGGTGCGGGCCTCTTGGCCTCGACATGACAAGCTTCGCGGTTGTGTGTCATCATGTTCCTCATATGCGTGTATCTTTAATAAGGGAAGATATCTGTACATATAAAATAACTCGGAATGTAAATAAGTAAGTAAATGAATATATATATATATATACATACATACATATCTACCTATCATCTCTCTCTATGTGCATATGTACATATGTATACACAAATGTTCACATAGTATATCTACATAAATAAGTGGGTGTGTACATGTATATATATATATATATATATATATATATATGTATGGTACCCCCCCCCCAGGACCTCCAAACCTGTCTGGCTACATATATGATACCACATTCCATTACCCATGCACACACATGCACACACATGCGCACACATGCGCACACACGCACACACATGCAACATGGGCCTTAAGGTATACGAAGATTAATGTATAAGAACATGACTATACCAGAGACCCGGTTGCATTAAAACCCGCATGCAGCCCGGCCCGTGGAACCAAGAACCAAGATGCCCAGGAGTCTTGAATCTTGGATCTTGGTTCCATGGGCACCGGCCAGGCTGCATTAAAATCTGCATTAAAAAATTGAAATTTTAATGCAGCCCGGCCCGTGGAACCAAGAACCAGAACCAAGATGCCCAGGAGTCTTGAACCTTGGATCTTGGTTCCGCGGGCACCGGCCGGGCTGCATTAAAATCTGCATTAAATAATTGAAATTTTAATGCAGCCCGGCCCGTGGAACCAAGAACCAAGATGCCCAGGAGTCTTGAATCTTGGATCTTGGTTCCATGGGCACCGGCCAGGCTGCATTAAAATCTACATTAAAAATTTAAATTTTAATGCAGCCCGGCCCGTGGAACCAAGAACCAAGAACCAAGATGCCCAAGTCTTGAACCTTGGATCTTGGTTCCGCGGGCACCGGCCTGGCTCCATTAAAAATCTGCGTTAAAGAATTTAAATTTTAATGCAGCCCGGCCCGTGGAACCAAGAACCAAGATGCCCAGGAGTCTTGAACCTTGGATTTTGGTTCCGCGGGCCCTGGCCGGGCTGCATTAAAATCTGCATTAAAAAATTACACTTTAATGCAGCCCGGCCCGTGGAACCAAGAACCAAGGTGCCCGGCTGCATTAAAATTTAATGCAGATTTTAATGCAACCCGGCCGGTGCCCGTGGAACCAAGATCCAAGGTTCAAGACTCCTGGGCATCTTGGTTCTTGGTTCTTGGTTCCACGGGCCGGGCTGCATTGAATTTTAAATTTTTTATGCGGGTCTTAATGCAGCCAGGCCGCTGGAAACCATGTAAATATTTGTGAAACATATCGGTTTGCCATTTTATGTGCCACATGGCCACTCCTGCAGTGAAGATTAGTGAATGGATTGCTGTGCTTGACAGTTTGATCCCATGACAAGAAATGTGTGATGACCCAAGCTGCATCTAATCAAAATCATGTGATCTTGTACTTCCAGATTCAGTCCTGTCCTTGTGAACATAAATACAATAAATACTGTACAGACAGGTTTAAAAATGGAACATCAGTCGGAGCCGAAGATTTGCGAATGTCCAGCTGAGTTATAGCTTCTTGAGTAACGGGTTCCCATGGTGGACATCAGGAACCTACTTGTAAACAAATATCCTTCAAAGTCCACTATAGAATCCCCCCTTATCCCCTCCAGGATTTCATAGAAAATGCTCAGGTCGTACCGTATAGAGTTTATAAAGTATATACTTTGTATAATATACCTTATGCCTTATGGAATACCCTGTATCTCATGAAACACCTTATAGAAATCTGTCCTATATACACACCCTATAGAATACCTTGTATACGTTACAGTTTGGGATACCGTATAAATACCCTATAGACTGCCACATAGAATACCTTGTTTGTCTCCTATATACCCTATATGAGCCTTTTAGAATACCATCTGGAATACTTCACAGAATGTATTGTAAACGCCCTATGGATATCTATGGATGATACTCCCCTTTAAACCTTATACATGCCCTTGAGAACCCCCTTTGGGATACCCGACAATAGCCGTATAGACCAGGATCTACGTAAAGTAAATCAGAAGGAGCCCAAGCTTCTTGCAGCTTATTGGGCAACGGACATTTATGCTTGTAGAATACCATACGGAATACCCTTTTTACAAACCGTAAAGAACTTCATGTAGAATACGGTAATGCCATATATCATGTTCCTATATTCCCTATACACCTTGTACACCCAAGACCTGAGAGTTCCCCAGTTGAATGTGGTTTATTTAGCAATGGATTCATATCAAGGAATTGCGGAATATAGGATCTAGAAACTCCTTGAAAATCGATGCTTGTCTAGCAAAGGATACATACAGAGAACAGAGCTCTTCTGAGACACATGCTGCACATACCCTATAGAATGCCTTTTAAACTACCTTTTCCACCGATTTACCCTACATACGCCTTATATAATACCATCTGTAATACACCCTTGATCACTTTGTAGAAGAGCGCCTCTATTTGATACATCCTGTGTATCTTATGTATGCCATATAGAATACTTGTACAGTACCATTTAGATTACCTTTTGAAATCCATTATAGACAATCCTAACAGTACCTTATAGATACGGGCTTTAAATATGGAAAGCCAGCCGGAGCCCAAGAGCTGATAGTTTCTAGCTGAATTGCAGCTTTTGGGTAAAGGGCTCCTATGAAGAAATCAGGAACCAGGAAAACTATCCTTACAACTACCTTATAAAATTCACTCTCTATGCACCTTAGTAAATTTCATAAAACATACACTATAGAATACCTTCCTACATATAGGCCGCAAAATGCCTTTTGTACAATACCTTTATGGAGTACCCTCTACAATACCTTATAGAATGCCCTATAGAATACCATCCTTACAGAAGACCGCCTATGAAATATATCTTTTATATACCCCAAATATACCTCATAGAATATCCTCCAGAATACCATTTAGGATACCGTTTACACTTAACATACCCTATAGATCACGGTTCAAAAAGGAACATCAGGAGGAGCGCGCCGTTAGATAGCGTAGCATACAGAGGACAGTAGACAATACTTCATGGTATTGTTTTGGCTCGAACGGTGTGGTGTCGTCGTAGACAGCGAAGACTACGCACTATATTGCAGTTTAGTTCGGAGTGGATTCGTAACGTTGTCTAGGCAGTACAAGAAGAGGCTTCGAGGTAGGTCCTGGGGGGGTAGCATATATATATATATATGTATATATGTATGTACGCATGTATGCATGCCAAAACATCTATGTTCTTAATTTCTGTTGTATGTATGTATGTATGTATGTCTGTATGTACACACTCATGCATGGGCGTATGTGTGTGCGCATACACATATATGACTATGTCTACACATGCGCATGTTGGTTAGGCTGTGTGACTGTTGCCTGTTTGTGTGCAGGGCTGTCTTGACGACTTGCGAGTTACGCAGACTGGAATCCCATGGTCGGTTCCGTTTGGCGGTTGGCTACACAATCCCTGTAGACCCTTACTTTAACCTACTGTACTTAAGGTTTAAGGCTTCGTGTCCAGGCTGCATCACACCCAGGCTGGAAAAGTACCCCTGCATGATGCTTGCCGACGGCCGTGGCCAGGAAGGTTAAGCGTTCAATTTCGGCAGGATTTACCACAATGGAAAACTACGCCCACATTCAGTCTGCAGCACTGGTGTACAAAGGAAGTGGACCCTCTACTAAAAGCAGTCCTAGGCCCATCCCTTTGAATTTGGGACGTCCTGAATCCTAAAGCCTACCGTAAACGACCATAAGCTACAGGTTTGTTCTTATGGTAAACCCTGCTATGGAATAGTAGGACTTGCAAGAAAGGTAGGTTTTGGTAGATTTTAAGCAAAACCTTCACCAGTCCCCAAAGCAGATGAGTGCCCTGCAACGCTGGGGCTCGAGACGACCTCGAAGTTGGTGGCCTTGATGTTTACCTCCGAGTGCTCTCTGAGACAGGGGCCTCAATAAGTAGAATAGGGTTTGGGGGCCCATTATACTACAGTTACAATAAGAAACCCCCAAAAGAGTATTGAATAAGGTCCTGGCTCTTGGAATTTCTAAAGAACGGTTATGGCTATGCGAACGTCAGAATGTCTTCCGGCACCTGCACACGGGTTTTGGAATGCCTCTGTTGCGGAGCATGCCGTAACACAAGTCCAATGTTTCATCATGACATCGCGGCACGCTGAACTGCACATCATTGGGAGTGAAGCCCCAGTGAGTGGGAAAATCGTGTCTTTTAGGGCATGTGGATTAAACTCCCACCCAGGCCTGAGGGGCCCTGGCAACACAGGGTGTGTGTGTGTGTGTGTGTGTGTCTAAACAACCTCCAAAAGCTTTAAGACTTAAGACTTAGGACGTGTTGTTGGAGGCTCAAGCCCCTGCGTTTGGGTTCAAGATTTAACAAAAGACTCGCCCGTGCTGAGTTTCGGGATCAGAGCGTCTGGAACTTGCCGGCTGGTAAGAACAGAATCCTAAACCGGCAGCCCAAATCTAATGAAACCCTGAAAACACCATAAACTACAAGCTCAAACCCATACCCTCCCAATAGCTGAACTTGCAACGACATGGTGTCACATGAACCATCCGAAACATTGGCCGTTGACTAAACTGCCTGGCCCCCGAACCATAAATCCAACATGTAAACACAGAAGCTCTTTCGAAGCAACAGTGTTGTGTTTGCCCACGGCTTCAACTTCAGGCTGATCGCCGGAAGAGTCCGGCAACTCACAAAACTTCGGCGACCTGAACCCACAACCCTTGGCAGAAGCAGTGCCTTCAAGCCGTTTTCGAGGAAGCACTCCCATCCTCAAGGCATGCAAAGGCTGGATTTCGGGGCCTCTGTATTATGTAATGGTCCAACCTTTGCCTTCGTTCCTCAGGGTTCCTCAATTGTTGTTAACTAAAATACCTCACAACCGTGTTTTCGCTGTTGAAGCACTATGCCCTTGGCCTTTTAGAACTCTCAGAGCAACTCTTAAAGGAGCATTCAAAGTCTCGAAGTGCCGGGGCCTCAACCCTCAAACCCTAAACAGTGTAGTTTAGGGAGTTTAGGGACGAGTCGTCGTCCTTGTTCCGGCGTAGTTTGGTCTGCGGATGCCTAGGATTTACTTCTCGCCGCTTTCTGTCGCCGGCTGTGCTCTTCGTGCTCTTGGCTTTGGTTTCGTTGCCCTGAAGGTCCATATGCTCACATACCGGGTAGCGAGGCTTAGGGGTTATAGGGTTAAGGGTTTAGAGTTTAGGGCTTCAGCGGTTTCGGGCTTTGGGTTTTGGGGGGTAGGAAGCTGCTGCAAACTTTTGGAGACCTCCCGTCATGTCGGTGTACAGGACTGTGAAAGTACACGTGGTTTAACCAGCCGTGTCCCTGGTGCAGCATTGCAATCAGTAGCAGAGGATTTAGGCTTGTGTCTAGACAAGCACTAGGATTAAGGACGAAGGCTAACTCCAGGCCAGCTTTGTCCATTACCAGGGTGCTCACCATACAAAAGCCACGAAAAATAGCCTCTGCAGAACGTTTGTCTGGGAAGATCCCTTCAAAGGAGACCGATTCTAAATTACTCAAGCACTTGTACTCGGAAACCCTGTAGAACCTGTACTGTATAGAACCCTTGTACTAAAGATCAGATTGAGGGAGGAGCCCTGTACCGCAAATTAAGGGCCGTAAGCCGTAACATTATGGAGCGCTCTAAAGAACCCCTTGAAAGGGGCCATACTCTACGTATTCAAGCCCCTCTACAGTAAAGCCCTTGTCGTAACTTTCACGGAAGAAATGAGCAGCTGAGGCTTTGTCGCTCGTTGCTGGCGTTGAAGTCCCCCAAACCTTAGGACTTCTGAAAAAATGAAGGCTGTCGGGCTGAAACACCATACTACGAAGGGTTTTTTTTGGCGGGGCGGGTCAATGGAACATCCTGAAAGTTCACCCAACTTTCCAACAGGCCTCGCTACTACACAAACCAGCCCTAGCCGTGGCCCCACCGGAAAGTTTTATCTTTTGCACGAACCGTTCCTGTCCGTGTTTACTGCGCTCCAGCAACCTAGTGGGCTGTGTTGATGCATGGACAGGTAGAGACTACTTGTGCTCTTAGACTGGCCTTCTCACGCCCGGCCTCGTTCAGCTGGCGCTTGGCATCCGACATGCTCATCTCGGCACTGCTCAGTGCTTACAAAGTGCTATTTGTTGATGGAAATGGCAAGACATAGAATCGATCTGCAACAGAGTCACCAGCAAACCCCACAGGATTGCGGGCCGGTTCCCTGATCGACGGGCACGCAACAGGATCCCGTCGGTGGCATCGGTGGGAAGGGGGTGAAGGCAGACAGATGGTCCAATCACTTTCGTGGTGCAACAGACGCGTTCGTCTGCGCAGAAGCGTCGCGCCGGGATCCCTGATTTGAGGGTCGGTTTCATGGGCATCCTACTCCTGAGGGTCGAGTGATGCAGACTCCTGGTAAATATCTGATAAATAAACCCCATACTCCAGTATGAAAGATCAGCCGAAAGCAAAAACATTTACTGACCTACATAGGCACATGTTTAGGGACTATCCAGGATGAGCAGACTCCCAGGGCTTTTCCACGCACTGTGGAGAGGACACTGTGGAGAGGATGTCCCTTTTAGGGTTTAGGGTTGAGGGTTCGAGGCTTAACTATCCTAAGGCTCGGAATAGCCCAAAAGCCTTATATAGTATGGCCTTTGGGCCTTGTGATAATATGGGTCCCTGGAGCCTTAGGGTCAGGGATTTCTTGTAAGGGTCTTGGCACGAAGGATCCATGAGCCTTTCCGGCTGGTTGAGGGCGCCTCTCCTTGGGTTCTGAGGCTTTTCGGGTTTCGAGGTTTAGGGTTTGGGGTTTTGGGGTTTAGGTTTTGCGGTTTCACCCAAAACCGACGTCACCACGACCCCATTTCCACTTTACATGCCTACGTACTAGTAAAGGCTATGCGTCCTCGATTGCACTACCCATGGGCGGCTGGTAGTAACCCCTTGAGGCTCCAAGCCGTAAACCCTGAAAGCCCAACAGCTCTGAACGGCCCAAACGATCCAACCCTAAAACCCCGAGCCTCAACCCCCCCTCAAAAAAAACATCCTGCGAAGCCTAAATGGATCACCTTCAAAACCTGAAGCTCTTGTACAAGCCGTACAGAAGAATTTGAAGAATCCTAAACAGCCCCATCTACCGTTTTAACTTTGAGGCTTCGGACCCCGAAACCCCAGACCCTGAAACCCTACAGACTACCATATACAACACTTTAGAACACCTGTTATAAGAGCTCGATGAGAACATTCTAATACACTGCCTGTAAAACCTGTGTCAAAAAAGCCCCGTACAAGCCTCGAATACCAGAAAAATCCAAGAACCCCTATAAACCTGTCTTAACCCTCTCTAATCCATCCAAAAAACACCCCTCAACCTCTAAACCCTAAACCCCTAAATCCCAAACCCTAAAGCCTCGAAGCCCTAAGCTCACAGAAAGCACGGCGAATTTTCGAACTCGGATTCGGACGTCCGAGCTTTTCATTCAGGTCCGAATCAGAGACGAGGCCCCTTATCCGAACCTTCAAAAGGGCTGTCTGTGGGCTTGGGGTTTAGGAGTTTAGGGGTTTAGGGTTTAGGGCTTTCTACGGATTTGGCTTTTTTCTTGTGTGGGTGTAGGCGTAGGGTTTCAAAAGGGCGTCGTGAGAGTTTAGGGTTTGACTTTTTTGCTGTTGAGGGTTTAGGGCTTAGGGTTGAGGGCTTAGGGCATGTTGCTACAATAGCATGTTTTTGAAGGGGTTCTGTGGGGCTTTATGTGAGTTCTCGCTGGCGTGTACGTTGTGTTTGAACCGGGTTGCCTAAGGAAGTTTCTAGGTTTCATGTTCTTTATGCGAGGGGCGGTAGAAAAGGCCTGTTGGCTGGTATGTTAGATGTCTTTGCATATCGAATTTTTGCTAGGCTTGCGTATACTGAATTTGTGAGAGTCTCTTTGCATAATATGGCCTCTTTCCCTACCTCTCTGAGGGCTTCCGGGCTTGTAAAGGATCTTTGGGTTAAGGCACTTCGGGTGTAGGGTAGTGTATAAGGGGGGTCGGCTCACTCTTGCAACTTCCCGGTTGTAGCTGGAAGCCAAAATTTCACTCTTAGGCCCCAAAACCCACACCGAAATATTTCTTAAGCTCTTCACACTTTTCCCCACTAAGCCTCAAGCCCTGAACACGAGGCAAGAAGTTAAACACCCAGTCAACTGCGTTGAACAGACACCGTAAACCGCAAAACCTAAAGATTCCATATAACAGCACTAGGCAACCTCGAGAGAAAACGAATCCCAAGCTGAGCGATCACATTTCTTTAGAATACGATAGGGGACTTCAGAATCTAGAGCATATAACCTTTAACGCTACACCTGTAAGTCAGAAAGGTTTATATAGGGTTTTGGGGTTCAGAACCTCACCCCTACGAGCCCTGGAGACATGGGTTGTAGTACCTTCATTCCGGTGGTAGGCTGCAGAGCTGGCAAGGGTGGATCGGCGGCGACCTGGTTTCCGATGATTCCAATACCCTTAACCCCAAACCTCAAATGCTTCCTAAAAATACATTGAGAAACTAAATACTTCCTAAACCCTCAACCCTAAACCGTACATCCTCCCCTAAACCCTGAACCCTAGATCTGGGCTTCAGGGGTTGGGGCTGACGGTGCGGAGCCTTGGGAAGTGCCAATTTGGGCTCTGGTCAGGGTTTTGGGTTTTGGGGTTTCGGGTTTAAGGATTCGGGTTCAAGGTTTGGGGTTTAGGGATGGTTAGTGTTTCAGGGGTTTCGGGTGAGGTTGCCAGAGATTTAGACAATATGCACGCGGCGCGCGGGGCACACAGGACATGGAGTGCTGGATATCCCGAACTCCTTGAGCACAAGTTTTGCAGCTGCCTAGCTACAGTATGGTCTCGGGTTTAGGGTCATAGGCTTATCGGGTCGGATTTAGGGTAGTCTGGAGCTGCTTCTTGGCGAGGAAGGCAGGAGGCCCTCACTTGGGGCTCATGGTGAGCCAAGACCCCAAAAGCTGCACCCAAGAAGGCTGAACTTCGAGCATGAAACGACGAACTTCCAAACCCCTCCAGACAAAAATGACCATGTCAGCCGAACCTACGAGTGTGTTTTTTTTTTTTTGCAGCATCCAGTGGTCACGTCGACCCCGAGTCGCGAAGAAAACAGCCAGCCCCTAATTCCAAGATCCTTGAGGGAGGGCCGTATACCGGCCTTGACGGATACCATAACCTGAGCAATTGCTTTGAATATAAACTCTTTGACACTCGAGCCCGAAACCTGAAGCCCTGAATCCCAAACCCCCACCGCACACTAAACAACCCATTTTAGGAACGCGTACGGTGTGCAACCCTTACAGCACCCATAAAGAACCTTCAAAGAACTCTTGAAGAACCCTTCTGAGCCCCTTCAAGGATCCCTGAAAGGAAGCCTTAAAGAAACCCTCAAAGAAGCCTGCAAAGGAACCCTTAAAGGAGTCGTTAGAGCCTTGAAGTAACCCTTAAAGAACCCTGCCTTCTCCTCCTTTGGCATGGCCGGCTCGGTTGCCTGCGACACCTGCGACGGCTTTTGCGTTCGGCCAACCGACGAGGGGTTCTTAAGGGATGCTGCTAAGAAGGGAGTCTCGGGGTTTGGGGTTGAGGCTTTGGGGTTTTGAGTTTGGGGGCACGGGATCTGGGGTTTAGGGTTCCTAGAGTGGGCTTCTGCAAAGGGTTCTTCATCGGTTCTATGAGAGGCGACAAAGCAGAGATCCTGGAGACTGCTACCATAGAGTTCCTTTGAGGGACAAGAAACGGCTCTACAAGGGATCTAACTTAAGTTGCTGGTGGTTAAGGATGTAAAGGCCCTACGGGTCCACCAGCATTCTTTTGCTTGCCGTGCAGATTTGGGCCAAACAATCTAGATCCTAAAACCATCTCGTCACAGAGCCTTCACAAGAAAGCTGGCTGGTGCTCAAAGGCTGCGGACTCTCACGATGGTCCTGAGTGCAGGTGAGGGTCGAGGCCAGGCGATCCGCTCAAAGGGAGTCCTCTCCGATCCTCGCTGCAGCGGCTCCGGGGGCTGCGAGCGTCTCTCCGTAGAAGGGCTGGATGAGAGTCGCTTTGTTGCACGATGAGTCGCCCTGACGACGTGGAATTTGTTCAGTTCCCCTTTCAAGCAGGACATGCAGGTGACGCTGGTAGGACAGCAGTGCGGCGGTCTTGTTGGTACCAACTCCGCAGCCAGTGCTGAGTGTTCGAGCGGATGCATCAATATGCGGACAGGCCGCCCGCTCCCATCTTCGAGGACTTTGTGCCTTTTCCGCGCCTCCTCCTTCTTGGCAACCGCAAGTAGGCATGGGATATGGTGGCCCGAGTATTTGACGAGAGCAATACAGGGGCCTTAATCGTTAGAATCGGGTTTTGGGGCCCATAACACTAAACCTATAATAAGGAACCCCCAACATAGTATAGGCAACTATTTAGGCTCCTATAGTATTTGACGAGGGTATGGCAATCAAAAAACTGCACGTGTCGAAGGAACCCAAAAGATCAGGACCCAAGCCCAAGCCGAGGCCATTACTAAGGAGCCCCCCCAAAGTAGTATAGGTAATTGTCAAGGCCTCTATATCATAACTTGTGGTTTAAGGCGTTGAGTTTAGGATACAGTTTTGCTGTAATGTTCGTAGCTGTTTGGCTTGTGGCTTCTGGCTGTTTGGTCTTAGGGCTTAGTTCTGGGTGCAGGGCTCGTTACTGCAAGAAACCTCAACAGTGCCTGCACAAAAGCTCCTTGAGGGAACCTGTGAGGCCAAAGGGGATATGTCGTGGAATGATGCTGCAATCCAAACCTGCTCAACGCCAATCTTTCAAACCCAAGCCGTAAACCCCACCAAACCCTTTGTCTCCGACCGTAAATTTGCGGCCTGCCGGCTTCCAATTCGAAGGAGGGCTTAGAGGCAAAATGTATCCTACGACTTTCAGAGTCCAGGCGGTTGAGTCAAAAGCCCTGAAGCGCGAACACCTAACCCTACGGACAGACAAACAGAAAAAGCCGTAGATGTTCAATCATCGGACTAGTGACAGCCTGTGTCGACAACCCTCAACAGAAAGCATTTGGGCCAACGTGTGAATGCTTTGCACTTCAACACCAAAGCCTGCATCCCTCAATCTGGAACCCCTCAAAACTGAACCCTCAAACATCGAATCCTAAAGCTTCCTTCAGCTGCAGTGCCCTGACCCCTGAACCTGAATCCAACACTTCAGGGCCTTTATCTCGTCCTCCACGCCCAGAGCTTTGAGAAGATCCTCTAAGACGCGGCAGGTTTAATGCAAAGACCGTGATTAGCAGAATCGGGTTATTGTAAACGGATCTTTGAATGGGTCTGTCGGGGATCGTCGGCATTTGGGGCGTTTAAGGCTTAGGCCCAGCATTGGAACGGTTACATGTCAGGAATCCTAAGAAATAAAGATATTGGCAAGTACTCAGGCATTATATTAGGCTTCGGGGTTCCGGCTGTTGTTTCTCCTTGAGCTCCTGCTGCATCAGAGTCACTGCATCCACAGAGTTCAGGGTCTTGAGCCAAGGGATAAGGATTGGTGGGTCTGGGGTCTAGGGTTTGGGGTACCCTCAGCCCTAAGCACTGCAGACACCTTCTTGGCAACGACCCCCAAAACCAAGCAATAGCCTAAGCTATCAGAGCCCAAGTTCTTCGGGGAACCTGAGAGAAGCCCTCACGTAGAATGGGGGCCTTCATCAATAGAATAGGGCTTTGCGTGACCATATCAGCAGAAGCATATCAAGGAACTCGAAAGTATGGTGCGACCCCCTATAATCGATTCAGTGCTGGTTGACTCAAGATCCCATAAGGAGATGTCGCAATGCCACGAGGTCAAATTAAGGATTCGGGGTCTCAGTTGTCGGGTATGGTATAATGCTACAGAAGGGACGTTGACCTCAATGGTCGTATTCATACACACAAGGGTTTGGGTTTCGGGTTCAGGCGTGTAGGCAATAGGGTTCGGAGTTGTGTGTGGCAATCCATGAGTGCTGTGCCCTGGCTGTCTACAGGGCCAACATGTAGCTGGATCACGTGGGGTTCGCTTTAAGGGCTCCTCTAAGGCTTCCGTAATGGCTACTAGAACGGTTGCTTTAAAGGTCGCTATCAGGATTACCATACGTTGGATGCTGCTTTCCTATTCCTATCGCTTGCATTGCAGGGCTTCGGGCGTGAATTCTTAACAGGTGCCTGCAGCTCCAAGCCCCAGGAGTCAGCAGGTCGTCAGCCCCTGATTCCAGTTGCAGGGTATAGTGGTAAACCCTAAACCCTAAACCCTAAACCCTAAACCCATAGTGGTATAGCCATAGCGGTATAGCCATAGCGGAAAGGTGCACCCCTGTGTCACAGAAACTAAGAAAACCCACAGCTGAGGGACTCTAGGGGCCTGGTGACTTCCAATTACGATAGCACTTGTAGCCCAAAACCCCATACCGACAAAGGCTAAGTGTAACATCCCGGTCGAGCACTGATGAAACCTTCATATCGACACCTGACCAGCTACCAAAGCCCATGAATCAGCCCACCAACCCCTATTGATGCCTAGACAAATAAGAAAACAACCGACCCCCCACCCCCCGCCCCTACAGCGCCCTACCTAGGGCTCCCCAATTACCCTTTATTGTAGGCCCCGTCTTGCCCCTTGACGAGGAATCTAAGACAGGCCTTTTAGGGGCACTTGGGGGTCTTGGTAAACCCATCCCTAAACCCTAGGCCCTACATCCTACAAGCCCTAAATCCTATAAACCCGACATCTGCCACGCCCAGGTCCTTTTCGAAGGCAGCTTCTTCAAGGCTCTTCTCGGTGCTCGTGGTGGCATTGCCTAGGAGGGACTCTTCGTCGAACAGTGAACCCCTAAAACCCCCCGAAAGCCCTCATATAACTCCAAAACCCTAAACTGCCCTCACCGGCTACAGACTAGCCTGAAGCCCAAGCCTTCAAAAACCGTGCCTGGAGTGTCGAAGGCCGCAGCAGAGCACTTGCCCCGCAGGCGGCGCCTTAGCATCAGGTTGGGATTTAGGGTTGAGGGTTTAGGTTCGGGTTTTGGGCTTGTTTAAGGTACTTCTTCACGGCCAGGCTCCACTTTTTTGGCAAAAACTCAGGGCTTCAGCCCTACCTGGACTTAGTGGCTAGAGCTTAGGGTTCAGGGTTTAGGGTTTTTAGGGCTGAGCGGTTAAGAAAACCTGCGTGCATTCTCGGGGTTCTTAATCGCAGCCTGCTCGACCTCCTTGAGAAGGTGAGCTTTTCGGGCTGCCAGTGAGTCATGGATGAATTCAGTCCGCTGGGGTCGTTGTAATGTCAGAAACTAGGACTACGGGCCATATTAAAGCAACTTTTTATTTCAGTAAACGGCAACTCCCCCTTATAGAACCCCTTTACCAATCCTGAAAGAATCGCGAGGAACCGTGTTGGCCTTTGATATAGCTCTGGAGTCTGGTATGCTGAAATCGAAACCCTACACCCTAAACCCCAAATCCTTAAATTTTAATCCTGGCCCCATAAACCCTAAAACACCATAAACCCCTAAATCACAAAACCCTGGCTCCGGGAAACCTTGGGCAGTGTCGGACAGGTCTTGGGCTGAAATGGTGTAGGTTTGAGGCTATTGAACTTTACGGGTTTAAATTTAGTAAACTCTAGGGGGGGTTCGGGTTTCGGGTCTGTCTGAGTTTGGTGTTTAGGGTCTACTGAAGCCCGAAACCCTGAGCCACTATAGGCTATAGGGCTTGGGGTTTACTACAGCCCGAAACCCTGAGGCCCCAAAGCCTATAGTCGCTGAAGCGAAATTTGCTAAACCCTAAAGACCCTACACCTCAAAACCCGAAAGCTCTAAACCCTCTTGATAGGCACGGGTCGAGGATTCACGATTTTGGGCAGAGGGAGGGTTCATTATGTTCAAGGCTCGAGGTTCAGGTTTTGGAGTTCAGGGCTGGGTGTTGCGGATATAGCACTGAAGGGTTCAGTGTTTAGGGTTTAGGAGTTCAGTCTGTAGGGGTCTGTTCGGTTTTTGGAGCCTGCGTAATTAGTTGGGTTCGGGAGCTTCCACTGAGGTTTTAAGGCTTCTGGGGCTGAAAGACTGCAGTGGTTCCAGCTTTAAAGCTCGTGGTTCAGGTCTAGAATGTTGCTGAAGGCTTGGAATCTGGGTCTTTCACACCTTAACCGCCCTAGCCCCAAGATGCTAATGCAGTCTCAGGAATAAACCTTGAACCCCTGGTCTCATCTGGAGTCCGTTTCTAACGCGCGTCTTCATCGCATGAGCTGATGTAAGCCAACCCAGCTCCCAGCGAGTAAACAGCTGGCAGGGTTTCGAGCTTAAGGTTCGGGGTTTAGGAGGGTCCAGGGCATAGCGTTTCGGGCTTCATGGGTGTTACAAGATTTAGGGTGGTTTATGGTCTTGTCACTGCATGTACCGCTCAGGACTTGAATAGGAAACCAAGTGCGTCTGCGGGCTTTGGGCTCTGCAGAGGCGCAGACACAAGCGGAGTGCCCCCACGAACGAGTCATCGGGGACGCAGAAATGGGTCCCCAATGACAATATCAATGCTACGGTATCCGCGTTCGCTCGGATACCACCAAAAGGCGTCACGCAGGCTTTGCCTGTCGTTTCATGATCGTTAACTTCTCTGCTGGAAGCTCTTAGAGCTTGCGGCAGCTACACCAGCTGATACTCGAAACCCCAAACCAAGAGAGGCTTGAAGCCGTGGTAAGAGGGTGTTGGGAGTCATGGCCGTTTAAGGGTAAGGTTACGAGGTAGAGATTCGGAATTGGGCATGTATCTCAGAGAAACAGCAAGCGGTTTCACTGTCAGAAGCATAGAACCCGGTGTGAAGCTGAAAATTACCTTCACAGCCAGTGTGGTTCAAAACAGTTTCAACCGGTGACACGTTGCAGCCATGAGAAGTCTGTCAAATATCAGATCGCTCTTTGGAGGGTATATCTCCAGGCTTTCTCTTAGGAATACTTGAAGAGCCCTTGTAGCATCTTAGGCGTTTATAGAAAATCGTTGGAGCCTTTATCGCGACCTTATCGAGCCTTAATCTCAAAGCCTGGAGCACCGATCCTGACTCAAGGATTGCGAAGGCCTAGGTGGCTCGAGAAGTCCTGGAAGGGTGTAATAGCAGCTTAAGAGCAGCGGCCTCTCAGTTCGAAACATTACATATATATATATATATATATATATACATACATATGCATATGTATACAGATTGTTTTAGGGGTTTGGGTTATTCTTGTAGCTGCTAAACGAGGCTTGTTTGCGAGAGCTGCGATGCTTAATCAGCCCAGACCTGGACATTCAGAAGAACGGTGATGTCCGGAGGTCATGTCGGTGTCCAGAGTTTACTCAAACCCTCAACCCTAACTTAGGATCTACGATTTGAGGGTCGAACCGCAATACTGTCGCGTTTGAAGCGCTATGCAACCATGCCCCGCGAAGGAAGAATCTGCTGAGCGACGCACTTAATCGGAACGCTTTATTTGACAGGCGCTCATGTAGTTCTACAGATGCACATTCGTTGGCGCATTCCTTCAGCAATTCCAGTCACCTTGAGTGAATTAAACTGATCCGCGCTGACAGATCGTAGGGAGCAAGATCCGGTGCCTCCACACTTCAATCAATCTTGGGGTCGGGTGTGGGGCTTACCTGTCAGCCGACGGCTGTATTCTGAGATACAGCCTACACGTAGTAGGTAGTTTGAGCCCCATGTTCGGCCATAGGAGAGGATCTTGGGCACCTCTAACACGCCTTGACAAGCAGAATAGGTCCTTGGATTATATGTGATTTGAGTGCACAAGGTTTACAAAGTCACCGTATTCAGACGGCACTCGGTGCGTGCAAGGAAACCCATCACAAATGCCGCTAACAGCCTTTGTTTAATCCGGACCTTAAGTCTGGTGTAGGATTGAATTGAAGGTTCAGCGCAACGACATCCTAGTTTCTGTGCTAGATCGATGACAATGATGATCGGAGATCGAGATCAACAGGCTTAGGATTTCGCGATGCTTCGGGTTGAGGGCTTTGGGGTTTAGGTTCAGCTAAGGGTGAACGAGATTGGTTCAAGCACCCCGTCTCTGTAAGCTATGCATTTCAACGTCCTTAAGACCGCAATAGTACCTGCCTGCACCCAGCAAATGCGGTTACAGCAACACTGTTTCTGTTTATCTCTTCCGCTTGCCTTCTTTGACTTGCCAGCACCCACGATGCCTGTGATCCCAGCTTTAACTCACTTGCTATCATTCATGCTGCGCCGCGTACCTGAGCCTACAAACCTTCTTCCAGCTGAAGAAACACTTTACCCAGCAAAGTAGCACCGCAAAACGCCAAAACTCGGAGCCCTGGCCCCGACCCTGGACCTCGAGACCTGAATGCCAGACCTCAGAATCTATATCTATATATATATATATATACACACACACATGCACATACATACATGCATGCATACATGCATACGTGTATATGTATATATATATATATATATGTGTGTGTGTGTGTGTTATATGTGTGAAGGATGCCTCATCCAGGAGGACCATTGCTTTCCGGCGCGTCACGGCCGGCGTCCCGCCTGAGTAAGTCGGAAAGCGCAGGACAAAGGAGGGGAGGCAAATCCGAAGGCTCTAAGTCCGGGGGTGTCTAGGGCGGTCCCCCAAAATCCCAAACTTCATGCACGCAAATGTTACTAGTTGTGTGTAACCCGGGGCATGAAGTGTGTTGTTGGTAGCGGGCAGTATCTCATCGAGTCTATGTCTATGTAGGGTTTAGGCTTTAGGTTAAAGGGGTGTTCGTGGCTTAGAACTTAGGGCTCAGGTTGAAATCCGTTGTAAGTTTCACTTCTGCTCGTTTGTCCTCGTTTCCGACATCCACTCTACCCACAATGTCGACGAATTTTATATAAGGCCATTGGTGCAATAGAACTGGTTTCAAGGGCATATCATGCTATACTCAGGGTATACTCAGCTGGTAGGAACTTAAGACTGTAGTCGAGTCTGAAAAGGAGTGGTTTAGACCCGAATACTACGCGGCATGTTGATGTCTCGGTTATGCCTGCTCTTCTTGCCTACCCTCAGACCTGAGCCCCAAAGCCCCAATCTGTACCCCGACAGCCGTCAGCTGCATGTCGGCACTGAACATCGCTTTCATCCGTCTTCACGTCATGTGAACATTCGACTTTGTCCAAGGATTCGTTCCCGTGGGCCTCGATCCTGTCGAACAAACAGGGATAGTGATTCCCGATGATACAAAGATGTCATAACATACTATGTACAAGGTACTATGTACAAGGTACGGTCATGTTCGAGAACTTATCATAGTATAGCCATAATACAGCATAATATGCGACATCATTTCATATACCATAACGTGCTATTTCATGCTATGATAGGCCACAGCATACCATTACATTGTGTAATCTCCTATGTGATACGATAACGCATTTCTTGGAACCCCTTGTGCACATCCGGGTCCCAATATCGCACCCCATGCAACCCCGATCGCCCAATGTTCAAAAGCAGGCATGAACGCAGCAACAGCAAAGCTGTAAAGTCCTGAGTTTACCACAAAACACCGCGCATCCCTCAGCCCTCCTCGTAGTCCCACCTGTAATCTATGACTGGATTCACAGCATTTTTTGGGGGACCTTACTATGCAAAACGTGAAGGAAGCCCAGTTTAAGAGCCATCATACCAGCGGCACCCTGAAATGAATCCTGAACCACTAAAACAACCCAATTATTAATCTGCCTAATACCGGGAGACCCTAACCCCAAACACCCTAAACCTACACCCCTAAACCCTAAACCCCTATTTCCTAAACCTAACCCCTGAACCTCTAAAACACTCCACCCCTAAACACTAAACCCCTAGACCCTGCACCCTCTGAACCAGAACATACCAAGACCCGCACAGCCCCTTGGATCTTCTGTCGCGCGGCACCACCACACCTAGCAGAGAGGAGATGGAACCTTGAGGCTTCGGGTTTAATATAGGGACCTTACCAATTAGAAAAGGGATTGGGGACCATTACATATATATATATATATATATATACAATAATTAAAATACCTAAAACTATACATATACATATATATATATATATATTTATATTTATACACTATATGACTATATGTAAAGTACGGATTGAGCATTGTTTGTTGAACAGCCCGTTATCGTCTCGCAAGGATCCGAGAAGCGGTTTGTCCGCTAGGATTGCGCTGTAGGGTCTGTGTTGCTGAGGGTTCCGGGCTAAAGGTTCAGGCCTTGGGGCTTTCGTCTATAGGCCTTATGAACTGAAGATTAGCACTTAGGGCATTAGCTCAAGATTTCAGGTTCGGGAATCAAGGCATTTGCGGTGCAAAGGCTTTCAACTCTAAAATGTCTACCTACCTACCCTGACTTTAGCCTAAACTCAAAGCTCCAAACACCGAGATGCCCTAAACCCCAAAGACCTAGAATACCTAGAACCCCTAAACCCCAAAGACCTAGAAGCCCTAAACCCCACAGACCTGGAACTCTTCCTGCAAAGCCACATTGAAGATGTCCTGTCCTGCAGGCCTACAACTTCCTCCTGGATCTTCATGCCTTGTACAGCTGATTCAACACAGGGGGCAATCATTTTCATGCCCTCGAGGAAGCAACGACATGAAGCGCACGTCTCCGTTGTGGAATTTGGCGTTCTCACCGCTCACGACATCGAAAGGTAGCCGAAGCCTAAGCCCTCGTCCTGCAACCTGTACCATAAGTAAAGCAACCTTGTCGACCAAAAGCCGCCACACCCTAAACCCTAAATCCTCGGAGTGTAGGTTTCGGGGCTTTCGGTTTGGGGTTTCGGGTCTCTGAGAAGAAAAACACTTAAATCCAGACCTGCCCACGAGCTCAAAGACAACAACTTGGGAGTTTCCGAAAACAGGGGACCCTAATGTAGTACCCTTCTTAGCAGGAGCCTTATTATAAGGATCCCAAAATGAGGTACCCCCTATTTTCGGAAACTACCACTAAAACTAGTCGAGTAGCCCGTGGAAGGGGTTTGGGGTAAGTACAGTAATAAGTGTATAAGGACCACAAGGGGGCAGGGGTTTCGTGAGATAAACAATGGTATCACTGCATGGGGACGATAACGGGATAAGACTACTTCAGACCCTTATTTAAACAAAGTCTTTTGCCCTAAGTCTTTGATCCTCTCCTAACTCAGAAAGTTGCAGTGTGCACCCTAGGGCACATGGGAATTCACCCGAACTGGGAGGACCGTGAGCTCTACCTCTGAACGGAGCCCATCTCACAAAAACCCACAGCTGCAGAACTTCATACAAACACATGGGCAAGAAATTGTTTAATAAAGAAGACCAGTAAACCTTAAATCCTAAGTGCCCTAAACCCTAGACCCTATAATTAAACGCTAAAACCCAAACCAAAATCCTTAAACTCCTAAACCCCAAACCCGACCCCCTCCCCCCCGCAAAAAAAAAAACAGGCCAATGCCTTCCAGTGTGTCTTTGTTACCGCGGCCTGCACGAAGTTTCTGGCTCGTGGCTTTCATCCCCAACACTCACAGACCCTTAGGGTTTAGGGTTTAGGAAGTTGTGTGTTTAGGAACATTTACCCCACCTGCAATTTTCATCTGTTTACTACAGCGTAGAGGTCAGGATAAGTTAGTAGAGTAGCCCGAGATGGCCTCTATGTCACGTCTTCGTTTCGGGCGTGAGGGTTTAAGGGCAAGGAGGGTGTATATGCAATGTATGTCGATACAACCGCTGTGTCTAATCTATATACATCTATATACAGGTACATATATATATATATATATACACACATATTCATACTTATATTTATATATGTGTGTATACATATACACAGATATGTGTACGTATGCATCTGTGTAAATATGTATGCATACATGCACGTATGTGTGTGGTTACATATGTAGATGTTGATGACAAAGAAAGAACGAATACATGCCCACCGATATATACCTTTTTGTCTGTATATTATATATGTATATATTAGGAATCTTTTGACGTACCATTGATAATCAATCATGATTCTCTCTTTACAGATTACGGGTCATACAGAATTTGTCGACACGGAGTTTGGGGCTTAGAGCCTTAATTAAAGTCCTTCCACCCAGAGGCTCAACTCCCTAAACACGGTCGGGTCAGGTGCAGGAATACCTGAAAATCAACCACTCCCTCACTTTAGCTTTTCATTAGAGTTGAGGGCTGGAAAATCGATCCACTATTCGTCTACACCCTTTTACAAGGCTTACAACTTACTTACAACTCCAAGACGACTGAACTCGCCTTTGGGCCTTTGCGCGATAGATAAGGGCTTTTAGGTTGGGGCCTTGAAGCACTCAACCCTCTAGACTCAAAAAGCCCCTGAGCCACTTTGTGACGACCCATTGGGTCTCATCCACTATATTTTATGGTTTTAGTGCTGGTATTTAATATTTGTACTAATATTAGTACTAGTATTGGTATTCGTATTTCTATGAAATTATATATAAGACAGTCATGAAGAACCAAACTGACAATGGTTCCTGAGGAACACCCAGCCCTCACCCACAACTGCAATCAGAAAACTCCCGAAGCCTTAGAACCTAACAGCAGACTGCGTCCTGCCTGCCAGATCCGTTAGATCCTTGCTCCCTGATCTTTCCCCTCGGCGTGGGAAAAATCTTGCAGGGTTCAGGGTCTAAACCCTCAACAGTTTAGGGGGTAGGGGCTTAGGGTTCAGGAGCTGTCAGAAAGCTACTGCCCTTCTTGGCCAGCTTCTCGGGGGATTCCAGTGCTGGGCATGCCCTGATCCTAAAGTGGGTTGGGGGTTTAGGGGTTAGGAGTCAGGGATTAGGATTCTTAAGCCCATTGGATCCTACATAAACAAACACGCCGTTGGGTTTGTACTTTAAATTTACACTGCAACAAACGCTACATCTACATGGGATTCTTAAAGTTACGGGTGCCTATAAGGATCCTACTATTGAGAAACCCCCACATGGACTCCTAAGGAACATGCAACAATCTTGATCAGCTTTCAAGACTTCATCGAACAAGTTGAAGTGTTCTAGGGGGGTTAGGGTTTAGAGTAAACCCTAAAGCCTAACCTAGACCTATCGAGAACTAAGCCCAGTCCAAAGCTAAGCAATCCCGGCACTAAAGGGCGAAATCGCAAGCCGCAAGAGATGGATGTGTCAGTGTCATTATTACGACAACTTGTGGGTCTAGGGTTTAGGTGGTTGATGAATATGAATGAATACGTTAGCCTAAACCGGGAACCCAAACCGAAGGTTTTTGCATCAACCATGCTGTCGCCAAGCCGCGTCCTGGTCCTTTCGAGACGTCCCCGGAGGCCTCTCGCAGTTCTGCGGGGGGGGGCTTCAGCAGGGGGTCAAGGGCTTCAGGGGTCTTGAGGTTTGGGTTTAGGAAATTGGTAGGCCTGGTAGGCGTTTGGATTGGGCCACTTTCATATTTGGGTCCATGAAAACACTTCATCGGGATATTGGATCTTGCTGGTTCGTCACCTGCTACGCCCCTGATCCTGCAAGCGCAGGAGTTTCAGAAGTCAATAAGCCCTGGTCATAGACCCTGGTGGCATTGCGAGCAAGAGAGAGAAACCCCGAAGTAAAGCTCACGGGGTGAGAAGCAACGGAACAGAAGCCTTCGCAGGGAGTCCGGTACCCTTGAATGAAAGGACAAACCTTGAACAAAAAGGGGATCCTGTTATGCTCTGCCTTGATGAAGGGGTATAGGAGGGTCTGGGAACTTTCTATACCCGAACCTCCCTGGACAGAAATCTTTGGGAAACCCAAGGCCCTGAACTCAACCGACCCGAGGCTTCTAACAAGTTTCAATCAAGAAGCATGAAGATTCCACAAAAGTAAGTTCTGGCAGATTAAGAACCCTGTCAGTAATAGCATCCCCGTGCAGTCGCTGTGCAGGTTTTCGGTCTCATACACTCCCCAAGCCCTATTCTAACTGCTAAGGTCCCTGTGTTACGGCACACTTATAGAACTCTTGCAGAACCCGTAATGGGTAAACGCAAGTCCCCAAACCGAGGTGTGCAGGGATCTCCGGCCTGTCGTCGAAAGCGTTCCTCCCAACAAATGCAAGCGTTCGGACAAAAACAATACCAGTTCAAACCAGGCGGATTTAAGAGTGCTTGGCTGTTGCTCCAAGAAATCCAGAAAAGTTACGAACTAATGAAGGGCTGTGAGGGTTGAGCGTCAGAGCTGACGCGGTGTAAGGTTTCCGGTCTAGGGCGCGAGACCGTTCCATGCCTGGCCTAGGGTTTCTGGGTTCAGGGGACACTTTCGGGGTTTAGGGCTTAGGGTGTTGGGAATGTTTTAAGTTTGATGTGGCTGCGCCGGTGCTAAGGTCCTGAAGGACTCCTGCGACCTAAAGGGGCCGCGAGCCCTTAATGAACTACTTAATTACTTGTAAAGGGGCTTCTATCTACAAAGGTTTCTTGGAAGGTTCCTGTAAAGGGTGCTAATTACAGGGGTTGCCTGACAGGTCAATTTCCTGCACCAGCTTCCCTACCTCAGTGGTCAAGCAGTGCTGGAGCGTGGTCAGGTGTTCGGCATTCCTCACCAATGACAATGGTACTGTCGAGATTCGGTCATAGATCGCCTGCAGGAGCATGTTGACGTCAGGCGTCAGCACAACAAGTTGCGCAGCACTCAGGCAATGTAGCAAGTCGGAGTACATGTTCCTGTGTTTCGCATAGTGGTTAACATGCAGATGCTCCTTCCCAATGCAACTTGCTTGACGAAGGCTTCGCAATGACCCTTGATTCCGTGTCCATGAGACCTTCTGCGTCTGAAGTCTTACTGCTATCCCGGGTCCCTGGATGAAAGAAAGCCTATAGGTTTTAGGGGTAACAGCTTTTTGAGACCTCCGTGCTCTTGCAACAGCCCAACAGTCCGACAGGCCACAATCAGAAGCGCCGACCAGAAAACACCATCACGCACAACCAGTTGAAAAAAACGCATGAACAACGGCAATAACAGATTCAACAACGCACTTGAGGAACCCCAGAAGCCCAGAAAACAAACCCTAGACCCCTGAACCGCGAACCCCGAAACCCCAAACCCCGAAAACCTAAACCCTGAAAACCTAAACCCTGAAAACCTAAACCTTGAATCCCAAAACACTGAACCCTAAACCCCGAAAGCCCAAGCCCAAAATGCCAGCACCTGCTCTTGTCTTGCGGCGGCTCTTCTTGCCCGCTCCTGCCGAACTCCAGTGACAATCCATCCCAAGGTTTCCGGATCAAAGTCCCGTTTACGGTTTAGGGGATTGGGGGGTTTCGGGTTTAAGCGCCTTTGCAAACAACAGAGGGCTTCTGCGGGATGTTTGTACAGTAACAGTACATAGCGGCTACTCGGGGATATTACTACCAATAATTGCGACATATTGCGACCCTAAAGTAGAGTCTCCCAATTCTGTTGTGGGCTAGCCCTCTGCATGGGGATCCCTTGAACACTGTGTGTGTGTGTGTTTCACGCCCAAGCTTGTGATTTGTTCCAGGCTTTGGGTGCCAGGGTTCAGGGTTGGGTTTTGGGTTTGTGGGAAGCTGCAGGGTCTAGGGGTTAAAGTTTACAGCCCGAGGCTTGTTCTAGCTGACATTTACTGCACAAGTCTCGTGTGAAAGGCAGCACTATCACACCCGAAACTGCTGTCCAGAATCTAGATTGGTTGCGTCAGTTACTTGGTATTTGGCCCAAACTTGCAACTTTCAGCCATGCAGCCCCGAAAAGCAGCGGATCAACACAGCTTCCAGGATCAAATGGCAACACCAGTTAAACTCTTTCTGCTTCGAGGGGGCAGCTGCAGCTTTCATATAGTTCTAACACCCTGAAACCCCAAATCCTAAATCCTGAAAAATACCCTTTGGGTAATTAACTCCAACCACACACACCACATAACACCTTGCATAGAAAGCCCCATACTAACCTGGAAAACGCAGGAACAAATCTGATAAAACTGTGTATACCACCAAATCCTACACAACCTTCCAACAACCTGTAAAGCCCCTACACAATCCTCTAACACCGGAATAGCTCGTGGCACATGCTATAAGAACCCCGTCAGAGAGGAAGCTTCACAAGTCACTCCTCGGCACGAGTCCCCTTCTTGCGTGGAAGGTCCTCGTTGTTCACCTCACCTGATTCGTTAAGGCGTTGATCAGGGTCTAAGGACTCTAACGCATCAGGATCGAGGAGTTCGACTCGCCTAAACTTCGGGCTGTTATCATGCGGAGTTGTATGGGTTCGCTGTAAGGACTTGATTTATCGGGTCATTTTCGGGTCCTTCTGGGTCTTTCCAATTTGGATTTGGGGTTTGCGAGGTTTGGGGCAGGGCTCTTAAGAAGCGGCCGTCATAGTATCCTTAGTGCGGGCCGCAAGTTCCTCATCCGACTTTTGCCGCAAACGCAAGTGATCCCCCAAAATGACGAGACAAAACAGGGTATCGGGGTCTGAAGACTAATGGGAAGAGGACCCTCATTGCAATAGTAAGTATTCCGACCCCTCCAACTTAAACGACCTGAAGCCAATTCTGGTGCCGTTGGTTGCCCGCCTTTAGGTCCGTCTTCAGAAGGCGAAGATGACCTGGCCGCTCAAAGCTGCTTCTTGCAGGCGTCAGCAGTTGACCAAGGCCCGAATAAACCCTAAGCTCTCACCCTTAAAACTAAACCTTAACCCTACATCCTGAACCTTAGAGCCCTAAAACCCGAACATCAAAAACTCTCAAACCCAGGGTTCGCGTCCGTAACTGCAGAGACCACGAAGCTTCCGAAGCTGGAACAGAGTGTAGGGTTTATAATGTTTAGGCTGGTTTGGGTTTATAGTGCTTAGGAGAGGCACGATTCCAAGGGCTCAGGATGCACGTGTTCTGGTCACAAAAGTCATACCCATTTAAGGCCAAACTTAGGGGCCCCATGTTGAATAGGCTTCTATAAGGGTTCCGCTCAAGGTTTACTGTGGGTCCATAACAGTTTAACAAACGGGGCTTTAGTAAGTAGGGATTCGGGGCGCGCTATATTGCAGTATAATTATGATAAGGAGCGCTAAGGAACAGTACTGCTCCTGTAATACATCGAGCCTTAGGCACTGTTGCAAACCTAGATGAGCATGACACACCCAACTTTCACAGCCCGAAGGCCGTGTACACCTTTGAGAGTCCTCACCCTAAATCAATATTTCCTTTGATTACCAAACCCACGTTTCCATCCTTTGAAACCCATATGGGTAGTTCTCTAATTTAGGGTCTCCAGAATAGTAAAGCACCCTGCATAAACGGATCACAAAATGGACCCCAATCAAGAAAACTTCCCATATACGCCTCAAACCCCTGCACCCTCGACCTCCTAAGGAAGGTCGAAATGCCAGTTGTACCATGGGGGAGGGGGGCTAAATAAGTAGAATACCGTATATGCCAGTATACTTATGTTTATTGAGGGAAACCGAAGGAAGGAAAGAAAGGAAGATCATGTGTGCTTCTCCAAGCTGCTCTATGACTCGAAGTTTTCATTTGGGCAGCTATTTGTAAGCCTATGTTGCACTATGATCGTTTATGGAATACGCGGGAGTAGTCATACTACTTTTTCAAAACCATAAACTACCCACTTATAGTCCATCACATTGCCTTGAATCTGCCACGCAAGCCCATAACTGTATCCTCGCTGAACTAAAGCTTTAGCAACTTCTCCCACAGCTGCACCCTGAAGGTACGATAGAGCCTAACCCTCCAACAAACAATAAACGTGAAATCCAGCGCCGTTAAACGCCAAACGCGGAAGGCACGAAGCCCTATATGGGGGGACCTTAATTATTCGGATCGGGTTTCGGGGTACGCATAGTTCATAAGAGTATCATAAGAGTATCATAAGTATGATTTATGCAGACGACTACAGACGAGCCAAGTTCCCGAAACACATGCTCAAATCTTGCCTTGATCTATTCCGATCAGCACGCCCTGGCCAAAGGCAGGGTTTTGACTCTTAAGCGGTGGGGGCTATGGGGTTTAGGGCTGTTACAAGGGCACAATGCTTAGTATAGGGCTTTGGGATTTCTGCTTGTCGCTTCAGTCGAGAGATGTGCCTGAAGCCTCAACCCGAAGGCATGAACATTTCAACCTGCTGGCTCCCTGGCAACGCTGGGGTAAACCTCGAACGCAAAACATCTGAGAGACCCTGGAGCCACAAGGTTTTTTGTTAACCTTGCAGGGCTTTCAACATCAGGGCTGAAGATCAAAAGTGAAATGCATATGCACGTGCACGCACGTGTTGAACAAATCTGATTGAGTCTTACTGAGCCTTACTAATCTTCTGGAGCCTTATTGAATCTTAGTGGATGTTACTGAACTTTGTTGAATCTTACAACACATGACTACAATTGGGGCATGACCCCTGGAGAATCGTACTAAATCTCGAACATTATCTTATTGAGTCTCAGGAGACATGACTAAGAATTGTGGCAAGACATCGGGACAGTTTTTTGAATCTGATTGAATTCTGGGAATAGAAAGTTTCAAGATTTCGCCACCGTTTCGTAAGGGAAATTTCGACCCCTTGGGTTAAAGACCCGAGGTTCGAGAGCCTTGCAAAGCCCTTGTACTTCTACGAATTACTCCAACTCCTACAATGCCCGTCTCCTGTGGGCGCAAGAGCTTTAAACCTTGCTTGCAACTTATAGCCTGGAGGTTTGTTCAGATTGTAGGTTTGTTTCCGGGGTCCTGCTGCGTCTGGGTCTTGCCCCAGCAAGGGAGCCGCTACTTACTTGAACATCGGTTATACTTTGATTATAATGTCGACATCAGGAGTCATGTACCTCTGCTCATGTAACACATCCGAAATGACAAATCCAGGTCTACACCTTCCGTCCCAAGCCGCCACCAAGAAACAAACACTTGTTCTCCTTCAGCCCCCCTATACCCTCACCGCCTAAACCCGACAGGTCTAAACACTAAACCCTATCTAAACCTAAACCTAAGCCCCCAAAGGCCCTCTGATTCCTCATTAAACTAATTTTTGTGTAATGGGCCCCTAAACCCTATTCCAATTATTAAGGCCCCTATATATTAAGACCGCCGAGGCCCTCAAGCAGCGCGCGCCTCCCTGGCGTGGGTAGGTCTCGTAGCCCCAGCCCAGGAGCTCTTTAGCTCCCAACATTTCCTAGGCGATCTACGCGCTGAGGGTTCAGGATTTAGAAGGCACTTTAGATGAAGGGTTTAGGGTTTAGGGATTTAAGGTTTAGGCGTTCAGTTTATCGTGCAAGGAAGCTTAGGATTCATGGCTTAAGGCTGTGAAAGTTTTGGGCATAGGGCCTGCAAGGCCTACAGTGTAGGTGTCCGGGGTTGAGCGCAGCTTTTATGCACGAGGGCTCAGGGTTTCGAAGCCCAGACTCCAGGGCAGAGTGAGGCACCAGTAAACTGATGACTGGATGTTGTGAATGCAGAAATTCATTCATACGTACATGCATTAAACGTTGTGATTCTAGGGTCGAAGGTGATGCGTTTAGAGTCAAGGGTGTCTGAGGCTTTGGCCGTATCTACATTCTGTTTTAGGATCCATCGGCTCGGTCTCTAAGTCTTCGAACTGTTTTGGACGTGATAGGGATTCGAAGCAATAACGTGGGTTGCAATACTTTTGACTCTACTTGCAACGTACCCGTCAAGCCCTAACTCCTGATCCTCCAATTCAATAACCCGTTCACCCCCAAGCCCAAACCAAACACCAGCGCCAATAACCGGAATCCCCCACACCCTGGGCCATCCACAGAATCCAGATGGAAACCCTACAGAACCCTGTTCAAAACCACCCATATCATATCATAGTGAAGCTCTGCAGAAAATCGGAGCTCGAACAGCTTCATAAACCGAAGGATCTCAAAGTCAAGCTTCTCTAAAGATAAGGGTTTAGTTAGGGCTTCGGGTCCAAGGTGGAGGGTTTGGGGTTTAAGGGCTTTGGGCTTCGGGGGTTTAGGGTTTAGCGAGACTCCCCTCTATACCTTCGCTTGTGTGTTCGTCGTCTTCAGGGTCTTCAACCTGGAGCCCGGAAACTGGCGGGAAAACACCTTGTAACCACTGCAAGGCGACAGGACATCTTTCAATCCTGTAAAACCTCATGGAACCCGTGAAAATTCTTCACACCGTGACTGAGTGATGCATCATAGAAACTATAAATCTCAAGCTTAACCCCTAAACCCTTTGAACACCTGAACCCCTAAAAATACATCACCCTGGAACGTTCCCTGGAGTCGGCGAGTGACGAGGCAGCCTCCCGTACCTTCGGGCAAAGTTCGATCTCGCAGGTGTTTCAGGGTGGGTTTCGGCTAACACCCTTTCCACCCCAATCCCGAATACTGCAACACCCCTAAACCCCGTAAACTGTTGCCCGAAACCCACTACCCCAAACTCAAACCAGCCATGAGGCCAAGCGGTCACAGACAAACTCTTTAAACCCAGACCCTACACAACCTACCCGTTCATGTTTAGCGCTTAGGCCGTCAGGGTTTCAGGGGTTAGGGTTTGCAGGACTCACGGTTTGAGCCCAGCCCACCGAAACCTTTGACTGACAATGGAACTCGCCACTACCAAAGCAGCCTCCTCGGAGGCCAAACCCCCACACCCTGCTCTTCTGAAGCTCTAGAGGTTAGGGTTCTAGCTCAAAGGGGTTTAGGGGTTAGGGGTTTAAAGGTTTAGGCGCTTAGGGCTGTAGCGTTTAGGGCTTTAGCGTTTAGGAAGCCTGGACTCCAAAAGTATGTAGGAGAATAGCCTTTTATTGGGTGAGGGGCTATTATGATACCTAAATTGTGGGGTCGAGGCCAAACCCTATCACAAACCCCTCCCTGTTTTCCCCCAAACCCTAAACCCCAAACCCGAATTAGAAACCAAGCCGCAACCCCAAAATCCCAACCCTCCTAACCCCTGAAGTCTACAAGCCCTCCCTAACCAGGAAACTCTACGAGCCCTAGCCCGGGTGCCTGTGGAAGCAGCGGGTCTCCGCCGGGCCTTGCTAGGCTTTGAGTCCTCGACCTCGGGTGCTCCGCACACTGGTTGAGCTTGGCTTTAGGGTTTAAGCATTTTTTTTAAGGCTCCGGAGGGTTTAAGAGTTCATTAGGACAGTTTAAAGGGTTTAGGGTTAATACAATTTTTGTAGCTCCTGAGGGTGTAGAGTTTAGTTAGGGCCGTTTTGAAGCCTTTTCGGGATCTTTACAGGACTTGGTCGCTTTCTCAAGGGTTTTCATAGGGTCAAAAAAAGGGATTAACGTTTAGGATTCAGGGGTTTGGCGTGCGCTTTAATGACATGGCCTAAATGGGCTCGATGGTGTTTAGGATTTCATGCAACGGGCTTATCAACGACGAAACAATCGACAGAAAAGTTTCTCTTACGGAAGGCAGTACGAATGGCCGCTGCAACTGTCAGGGCATTAAGGGGGTGACCATTGTGTCCCTTCACTCACATGTCTCGCATCGACACATGGTGCGATCTGTTTTCAAAGACGGGTGAGGCCTGCGAGATCGTGAAGGCGACATGTGCAGTGCGTGTGCTCTTCCAGCGCCTGAAGTACGAAGATCGAGTCCATAAGGCAGATGACGAGGAGGTGGAAACGAATATGACCTGATCATTCGGATTGTTGGTGCAGGCACCAACTTGGACTGGCAGACTTCCTCTTCTCGACGCGGGCCGCATGGTGCTCGTAGGGAAACTGCACTGGAGACTTGATTCCATATACGGCTACAGTCAGAACATGCAAGAAGGGCAGTTGTTCCATCTTCGACTTCAAGGTTTTGGACCACCTTGACCGGGGTGGAGTATGGCTCTTCGATGGGAACAGCAAACATCACACTATTCAACTACCACTGGAAAAGATGGCAACAAAAAGAGCCGCCATCCGTAGCCAATGCCCAAAACGCTGCTTCCGAAACTCCTTACACCACAATGATCCTGACACCCAAGACCTCACACCCCCCTCACACTGACCTCAAAGACCCACCCTGACCCTGACGCCCTCAAGCCTAGCGGCTTAGCGCCACAAAACACGCCAAACCTCAAAAGCTTCATTCCTGTCCGGCAGCAAGCATGTATACATGTGTCTGGCATAGCTGCCCCAGACCCCTACAACCTTGAAGCCTAAATAAACCCTGGATTAGAGTAATTAGAGAAGCCTTTCGGGGCTTAGCCGGTTGTTTGGGTGGTTTAGGGTTTCCAGTGATCTCTAAATCCCCCATCCCCCCCACCCCAAACCCAAACCCTGAACCCTAAACCCCCAACCCTAAACCCTCAACCCCACGCCAAAGGGGTCTCTCTGAGCTCTCGAACGGAAGGGCTCGAAGAGACGACTTCATGGAAGCCATCCTCCTTCTGTTGCCTCGGCGACTCGCATCTACCTGGACCCTCAGAAACCTGCGTTGCTTGGGTTCCTTACAAGAAAGAGCATGTCCTTAGATACTGGGTAGGAAATTTGGGGCTATGGTAGGAGCTGTTGCTAGTGTTTTATGGCTTGGGGGTTCAGGGTGTGTAAGAACCTGAGGGATTAGGAGGTTCAGGGTTTGTAGGGATTGTAAGTTTTGGGAAGTTATGGGGGTCAGGGATCTGCGGGTTTAAGGTTATGGGTCGTGCTGGGGCTTTGGTTTTGGAGTGGGGTTCTTTGGTGTCTAGGGTTTGAGGTTCTGGGGCTTGAGGGTCTCTAGATTTCTGCGGTTTAGGGTTGAGGGGGTTTACGGGTTTACAGCCGAGGGGTCCGGGTTCAGGGCTCAGGGCACTAAGCCCCATCCGAGACTCGAAAAGGGCTGCCATCAACCCCGTACAGACCTAACACACGCAAACCTTTGAAGCCCAGATGCGCTGGGCTCGCCGAAGCCTTCTTGTCCTGTGTTCAACTAGGCTTGCGGTCGGGCTTCAACCACCCCTGGACAATAATTAGATAGGAGGGTACCGGCACCGGACAGCTTTCGCGCTCGTGGGCTCGACATAGCTCAACCTGGTACTACTCATACTGCCTATGTTCCCAGCAAGGGTACCCTTTGTTTTCTAGCTCTTGTTAATGCAATAAGGAGGCTCCAACATAGAACGGCGGCCTTTTGGGTGCGATAACGCCAAACTGTAGTCAAGCGCAATGCGCACACTACTCTTTTAGGGCTAAGTTTGGGCTTTAGGCTTCAAGGTTCCGGGTTTGCGGCTTGCGGATTGGAGTCTAGGACTTGTGCAGCCCCGACTAACGAGCGCACTGGAACTGCTGCTGAACTGCCGAAAACCGGTTCCCCATGTTTGCGCAGCTACGGCAGCTACGGTACCTTCCACCACGACATTGCCATTACTGCGATTATTGCTGTTATTCTGTTATTACTCTTTATGCTACTCTTACTACTATATTACTAACACCTGACGAATAAAACTTTCACATGCTAATGTTTTTCTTGCGCCGGCCATACCTTGATAAATAAGGTTCGTGTTTTGGGGATGTTACAGTATCATGATAATCAGGAGCCGTGAGGAATAATGTTTGTAAGTTCTGAGACACCAAGCCTCTAGATTAATCACAGGGGCTTCGCTTACGGTGAGGCTCGTGCCTTGAGGTTCGGATTTGCTGCTGCCACCGAACGCTACACAGCTATCCCTAGCTGCCCTTCAAAATAGGCCCTAAACCCTACCCCAAACTGCCATCCTAAGCTGTTCAAGCCTGAACCTCCACGAGCCTGTGGTTGGCTGCCGCTGACATCCATGGTGCCATCGTTTTTGAAGTTCCCAGTCTGCGGGTGCGCAGAGGGGCGGGGGTTTAGGGCGCAATGTTTCGCATTAAGGGTTTAAGGGCTTACTTTGGGAGGGCTTCAAAAATTTCGTTAAAGGCGCTCAGCAGGTAGGAGGTTAGGATACTACTATACTACGTTCCTGCCGATCTCAGACAGCGCTGGAAAGGCTGCCATCGTGGTCTAGAGATGTGGCTGCCAAAGATCGATGCACTGCAGACGGTGAGCATCTCTGCCTCTGCACCGTCACCTGGTGGGGATGGCGCTTGAAGTACGCGTAGCTCAACATGCTCGTGAGCTGAGCGACCGCATCGCCATGCTGCGACGCCGAGGACGAGGAAGAGATCATTCTCACACTTCAGAGCTCCAGGATGCGATCAATAAGCTTGCCAACTCTTGATGTTGAATCGCTTGCTACATTCCCGAGCGGCTCCATATATGCGTATACTTACGCTGCACCGACTTGCCCGATGACGGGGTCAGTATCAACAAGTCTGCCCCCTCAACAGGACAAGTAATCGCTTCCCCCTAACAATCAATCCCCCCCTAATATAAAAACTGCCGGCCCCCGGAATTTCGCGGGTTCGGGCCCCGCATTCAATTTAAAGGGGGCAACATTAGGGGGGGTGGCAGATCTGTATGTGTTTTAATTGAAGGAAGACTACCGTAATACTAAAGACACCAGAGCTTTAGGGTTTAAGGGTTTAGGGCTCAGGGCTTTAATTATAGAGGCAAAGATTAATTACAGCAATACTAAAGAGACACGAGAGCTTTAGGGTTTAAGGGTTTAGGGCTCAGGGGCTCAGGGCTAAAGCTTTAGGGCTCAGGGCTTTAGGGCTTAAAGTTTAGGGCTCAGGCTTTTAGGGTTTGGGGCTCGAGGTTTAAGGCTTAGGGTTTTAAGTTTTAGGCTGGAGCCAGTTATTAGCTAACTAGTTTTAATATAAGGGGGGGTTGTTGGGTGTTATGTCCCTCCCGGGCTCGAGGTTTATGGCTTAGAGCTTTCGGGCTCTAGCTGTCTGACTGTCTGGCTGCCTCATTACTAATTAATTGCTGTCACTCCGACTCATACCCGCAGGACCCGAAACCCCCCCTAATATAAAAACTAAACCTCCGGAATCCAGTTTTTATATTAGGGGGGGGCGTTTTAATATTAGGGGGAAACGATTAAAACACAAGATCCAGCGGTGTCGGGTTTGGGGTCCTAGGGTTGAGGTCTAGGGATGTACTCAGGCGAGAAATCTCCCTGCCTCTTCCACGCTCCCGCCCCATGCCCTTGAATCCTGCACCATAAACCCTGAACCTTTTGGGTTTAGGGTTTAGGAACCCCAAAATCTTAAACCCTCACCCCAGAACTTAAACCCACAAACGAAAAACCAGCGCGCCGTCGTCCCTGGGATGGCAAAGCAGTTGATGCATTCAAAGTCCGGCGGAAACCTTGGATCCATGGTTAAACCCGCTGGGCTTTAGGGTCAACGGCTCGGGGCTAAGGGGCCTAGGTGATTCGCTTTTAACTTAAAGACCGTTAGGATCCCCTGTCAAGCGCTTACCAGGGAAGGCTTGCTCAGAATGCGGGGCTAAACCCAGTACCCTAAACCTACCCGAATTCCGAAACCTTGATTGGAGCTCCATCCTTCAGAACTGCACTACGCAACCTCCGGCTCCGCAGCTAAAGCCCAAGAGCCTAGACCTAGCCCCTCAAACCCTCAAAACAAAAGAACACTTGAACCCTAAACCGTGCAAACCCCTCAACCTTCCAAGACTAAAGCATAACAACCCTGAACACCCTAAAGCCAAAAGCCCTAAGCTCTAAAAAGCCTAAAGCCCTGAACCGTTAACCATACAAGCCCTAATTCATTACGCCCAGCGAGCACAAACCCCAAACATCATAAACCAGACCATGCTATTCCTGGGTTGCCCCAGGAATTAACCCCTTGATAATCAGGGTGCCCCTTTTCCTACTCTTCGGTTCGAACTCGGAGACCCCACAGTAAAAAGGGCAAACGCGAACACACTAGGAAAAAATACGGTAAACCCCAAAGCCTGATATAGAAACTCCGAAATGCTAAACCCTAAAGCCGAAACACTAAACCAAAACCCTATAAACCCTAAATACCAAACCCTAAACCCAAAATACCAAACCCGAACCCTCAACCCTAAATACTTGATTTACACCCGGACAGGTCGCGTGCACGAAAGAGTTGGGGTTTAGGGTTTAAGGGTTTACATGGGGCTTAGGGTTTAGGGCTGGGGTAGAGTCGGCAAAAGCACACCCGACGCCCAGTTTGGAAGCGTTCAACTCGAGTTCTGCTGGGGGTCTTTGTTGGGTTGCATAAGGTTTGGGATAAGGTCTTATAGAGTTGATAGTTACTACAAGTACGGGTTCCATAAGAAGGGGTCGGAGTAGAGAGAGTGTCGTAATGGCAATATGAAGGCTCTATACGGTTTAGGGTTTGGCTGGTATGAGGGCTGATATTCTGTAGGGTCCACTGTGCAACACAAGAACAAAAGCCCTAAGCCCCATCGTTTTGCCCGGTTGAACCCTGAATTTTGGGCGTGGAGAGTCAAGTCCAAGGCTTAACCACAGCTTATGGGAGTTGAGGTTTTAAGCTTGAACCTTTTGCTCTGTAGACTTTGAAGATTTACATAAAGTTTAGACTGTGGGATTTTTGGATTCGAGCACTCGAGCCTTTCGAGCTAAAGCAGCTGTGTTGTTTACCGTTAGGGTTTAGAATCCTTACCGCAGAACCGGAGCTTCACACGCCAAGTTCTGCCGAGAAGCTGCGCGTGCTTGTGCATCAAAGTCAACAAGCTCTCGTTCATGTCAACCTGGCCGGGGAAGGATCACATGCTACTATAAGGGCCTTAAAATTTGAGGCTTAGGGGCTTGGGTTTAGGGGCAAGGGGCCTATGAAATCCGGACTCGTGGGTCGTGTTCGTATTTTAGTAGTGGTAACACGCAGGGAAACACGTCGCCATGGCTACTTACAGCCCCAACTGCCAGTACATGTGGCCCGTCTACTAGCTACCCATGAGTCGCCCGTAGGTGCCTGGGTCCGTTTGGAAACCTCATAGAAGCCTGATAGAACCCTTCATAGAAGCCTTCTAGAAGCCTGTAAATTTCAAGAACACTAAACCATAAAACCCGACAAGCTAAACCCCAGAAAGCCCTAAAGCATCAGACCCCAAACCGTATCAGTGTACACAATCAAGGGGGGGCTTGAAACATAGAAGGGTTCCTTCCCAGGTTCCTTTAACGGGTCGCTAGAAGGGTTGCTGGAGAGTTTGAAGGTATAGGGGCCTTAAAAAAACCTTAAACAAGCTCTTTTGGGGGATTGTTCAAGTCGGAGTACTTGAGTACACGGGCCTTATCTGTTTCTGGGGCACTAGGGTTCCTTTCCACAGGCTCGTTCAACTTGATTACAACGGAATTCGATTTTGGGCGGCTTCGGGTTTGACGGCAAACTAATCAGAATAGGTGTTGCGAGTATGCTGAGGTATAGATATAATAATTTAGTGGAGAACCCTGTGGCCCTATGGAATAGCATTATCAACCACTCAGGCTTCTCAATAACCACAGCGACAACATCTCCCAAATGCTCAGGATCCGAAAAAGCGATCAAATGGCACATGAAGGGTTTAGGCTTGAAGATCGAAGGGGTTGTAGGTTAAGCTGTTCGCATAGCTACCAATGGCTGGCCGTCTAACTACGCACAAACTTTAATGTAACACCCTGCTGCAGGATCATTAAGCAAAGTCCGCATATGTAATGAGCCCTTGTCCTGCCTGCATGTCCTCTAGGGGCAAGTGGTTCGTACTCCTCACCGGGGCATACGGCAGCGCGACCAAAGCTTCGAGTACACATGAAACTCAGGCTTTAGGGTATTGAACCCAGCCTGAAACCTGTGTTAGGTGAGTGAATGGAAGTCCTGACTTGCTGGCAAAAAGTTGTTGCAAGCCTGACGCGAAGCCGCAGTTGCCAGAAAATGCAAACAAGTAGGCACGAGCTTGCACTGAAAAGTGATAAAAAAAAACACAAGTGTGCTCCTCCCGAATGGCATTTCCAGTTCGAAGGAGAAGAAGTGGATGCACCAGAAGGAGAAAACGACAACGAACGTCAATGTGCCGGCCCACCTGGCTCTACACGGGTTCAAAAAACCTGTCTTGGGGGTTATGTAAGGGATGTTGTGGGGCTTGAAAGAGGGCTTGGGGCCCCGGGTTCAGGAATCTGTCCCTAAACCGTCGCGTTCAGCACAATGCACTGAGAACTTTTATTTTTGGGGGAAGGATCTTCTTCATGAGATCCCCCACCCTGCTGACCCCTATACCCTAAACGAAGTCTAAGCGAAGTTCAAAGGTCCATGGGGTATATGGCTAGCTAAGGCTTGTAGTTTTGAGCTCGAAAGTTCCCTGAAAAGCTATACCTTGTTGAGGACTCGTATGACAACACCATATAGAGGAACTCGAAAGAATGTAGCTTACTTAGGGGTTTGTGTAGGGGTTAAGTTAAAGCTTTGGACGTTCAGAGTTGAACCTGAAGTCGAAACTCTAAGCCGGTTGACCATTGTGGGGCACTTCTGATAAGCACACTAGAACCTCTACAAAGATTACGCTGGGCTCCGTATAACAGCATGTAGAGTTCGAGGACTGTGGAAATGAGGTTTACCGGGCTCCCTACACTACGGATGCCTTGCCAGGAACTGTGGTGTTCAAGGCTGATTGGGTTCAGGGCCTGTTTGCAGGGTCCTTGGTTCTTAAGGCTTAGAACAAGGGTTTTAGCTAAGCCCTAAACCCTAAACCCCGGTTTACAGGTTCGTTGAAACCCGAAAAACGCTCATCTGGAGCAAGCCAAGTGGCCACAGCGACTTAATACTGCTCGCGCAGATGATGGGTATGAGGAACCAGTGTATTCCTTGGTTGAAAATAGCAGTTGATAGGGGGGAACCTGCAGGGTTTCTTTCAGGATTCAAGGGGCTTAAGTTTAGGGCTTGGCTTAGGGTGCAGCTTCAATCTGGTGGCTGCGGATGGCTTCAAGCCTCCTTTCGAGAAAGAAGCTGAAGAAGGGGTGAAAACCCCGAGTGAAACCCTATGTAAGCCCAAGAGCGCAAGGTGAATTTCCTGATTTACCACCGCCTCCCTAGCTACACCAAGTAGACATCAAGCCCCACACCATGGAGCTGCGAATGACGGTTTGGGGTTTAGGAGTTTAGGGCCTCCATGCTAAACATCCATACTCTGATGCGAACTCTCATGTTCCAGCACATCTGAGCCGCCCAGGGCTTTGAGGCGTGTGAGATTTAGGACATCGCCGTTTTGTTCAGCCTCATACTAAGCAATATTCTTACTGTAGGGGACTCATTACAGTATTCCTAGAGCTTCATTACCATTTTGCTTCTCACCCGAAACTCTGTTCCAATTCTTGAGGCCCCTCTACTACTAAGCTGTTGGTTGTAGATGAAAAATACCAAAACAGAAGAATGCAGCCAGTCCAAGGGCAGAAGCTTCACAGTTTCGGGATCTGGGCATTGTGTGGGACAACCTCCTCAACTCTCATCCCGAAACTTCTAAGAAACTCGGCAACCCCGGACCCCCCCCACCCCCCCCCCCCGCCCTAGCCAGTTTAGGGTTCAGGGGTTAGGGTTTGTGGATGTGTAGTTCTGCAAGTTAAGGCCCCTTGGGAGGCCCAGAGGCGGCACGGCTTCTACAAAGAATCGGCAAGGGATCCTAGTTTAGGGAAGCTCCCGTAATACATCCTAAACCCAGCGCCGTAGGACCGAGCATGAAACCCTGATAGTGATTTAGAAACCCCTTACGGTACCCTACGTGAAACCAACCTATGAAACCGTTAGTTGAAACTTGTAGGCAACCCGAACCCCGAAACCCTAAACACTACAGCCCGGCTGGCTGCCAGGCAGCCGAGCATGAAGGTAATGCACTGGACCAAAGGAAAAGGGAAGGGGAACTCAGCGATCTTTCTCGCATTGTTCAGGTTGACCTCAGGGTTTAAGACTTCGTTCGTTTTTAGGTCTTCGGGCTTGAATTCATTTCAGGGTTTAGGATTGTTTAAGGCTTTTAGGGCTTAGCACTTCTAGGGCTTTCAGGGTTTCTAGGAAGCTTTGAGGCTTCGCCTTCGGGTGCGCTAGTCACAGCTCGTGGGACAGAACCGAGTCTAGGCCTAATCCGTAAAGCCGAGGCCAAGGCCTTAGCCCCCCAAATCCGAATCCGTAGTAGGGGTTTGGGGTTTAGGGGTTTGGGGTTTATATGTGCCCGCGCTCCGCGTTCTCGACCCCCCCCCCCCCCCCCCAATGGTATCCCCCCCCCCCGAGCCCGGCGACCACACAACAAGAACAAGAACAAGAACAAGAACAAGAAGAAGAACAGCAGCAACAACAAAGCAGCAGCAACCACGCGGAGGAACCACAGGAACCACAGGGGGGGAGGGGGGAGACAGGAACCAGAAGAACCACAAAAGGGAGGGGGAAAACCAAGAGGAACCACAGGGGGGGGGGGGAACCACAGGAACCACAGGGGGGGGGGGGGGGATTACCATGGGGGGGGGGGGGGGGGGGGGGTCGGCGGATGCTGGCACATATAGACCTCAAATCGACACTACCTCCAGCCGCAGACCCTACACAACATTTTGTCTGTACGCATGGCCTTCAACGTCACCCCAAGCTCTAACCCTATGTGAGGCCCGCGGCGAGTCCGTAACACCTAAACTTCAGCTCTCATTGTTTATGTGCTAACTGCTTCCCCAAGAATCCCAGGAAATACCTTCCGACTCATCGGAGACTAATAATAACGAAACCATGTTAAACTGTTTCCATACTGTAGGGACAACAGCCAAATTTCCTAGACGCTTCAACTGAATGCCTCTCAGGTGCTCTGCTACCCCTGCTCGACCACAAATCTACTATCTGCGATTATACCTGCGACTTGTTTATGCCAACGACAAAAGCAAAGAACGTCGATAACATCTGCAACTCAAACCAGCCCTGAAGGCTGAAGTATTCACCATGATCTTAATACAACCAAACCCGCACACCCTAACCTGAAACCCTCGACCTTCAATTCTGCTAACCCTGATTATCCTCCGGACCGTCCAGGCCCTCACAGAATCCCGATGCCCTATGCCTTTCAAAGCACTCTAGAGAAAGCTCAGACTCCAGTCTAAACCCAACCGAATCCAAGGGGCGATTCCTCGCGAGTACTCTTGGAAGACTCGGGAAAGTATCGGAGGTGCCTTGGCTCTCACGATGAGCGGGCTCCTTTCAGGGTTCTTAAGGGATCTATTCGGGTTCAAAAGGAGTTCGATGAGAGATCTACAAGGGATCTGTAAGGTTTTAGGGTTTAGGGTTTAGGGGTGACGGGATCCTTTAGAGTTCAGGGTTTAGGGTGTAGAGTCTAGAGCTTGGGGAAGCTACTTCGGGGTACCACGGTTTAGGGCTCAAGGTAACCGATCAGCCTGCTTCGTGCTATTGCTAGCATGGGTCTCAAGATCAAGTCATGCTGTCGTGAGCTGCTATCTGGTGGAGTGTTCATAAATCTGTATGCGCCTGTCATAGCTAGACAGATATGTATATAATATATATACACATACATATGTAAGGGTTTAGTTCGGGGCTTAGAGTTTTATTTATGTATACATGTGGTAATTGCGGGAAATCGCTGTAGCAGCCAAGACGCTTATAACCAGAATCCAAGACCTCAAATTTCACATCCGAAGTCCAAACCCTAAGCCCCAAAGTCTAGCCCCAAGCCCCTCAACCCAAAACCCTAAACCCTAGTCCCCTAAACCCACAGCCGCCTCCCCATGTGGGCGGCTGGTTACCCAGATTTCTGAATCCCCACACCCGAGGCCATTCAGATTATCAGGGCTTCATCAGGCTTTGTCAAGGTCTCGTATGGGTTTGGTAGGCAATGACAAGGTTTCTTAAGGTGTTACCAGGGTGTGTTGAGGCGTTTATGCGGATTTGCACGGCTTGTAAGCAACAGCCTGGAAATCAAGCCCCAACCAAAACCCCCAAAACTCGAAACTCCAAACCCAGTGCAGCTGGGAGGCCACAGGCACCACACCTTGGTTCTCTCCACCAACCCAGGATCCAGCACTCCAGAAACAAAACTCCGGGCTTTAGGGTCTCGTGTAAAAGGGAGAGCCCTATAAAGCCCTGATACCGTTTTTGTGGTTCTCCACAATGAGCCGCTGGATCCACTGCAAGACGACCTCAACCTGGTGCAGTCTCCCAGGTGCCGGGAGTTCCGGGGTATCATGGTTTTAGGGTTTAGGGTTTAGGGTTCATGGTATTCAAACCATGGTTCTATTCGCTGTAGGGATTGCTGAGGTTTCTTTACAGCAGCGGTTTAGTGAATGAAGGTGCCATTGTTGTAGCTTTTTTTGTTTCTGTCCTGCTGTTTGTTGTTCGTTTGGTGGGAGAGGGGGGGAGGCCGAGCTCGACTCTTGAAGACGATGCGCTCTCAGCACCTTCTGACCTGTGCTCAGGAAATCCTCAACCCGAAATCTTCAACCCCAAATCTTGTCCCCGGAAACATAAACACCGCATCCCAAAGCCTAAACCCCAAACCGCCCGAAACCCAGAAAACCCTCAAAGAGCAAAACCTCTTAGCCCTGAAGATGCCTTGTCGTTCACATTGTCCAGGAACTTGAGACCTCGGCCACGGCAATGGGGCTTGGAGCTTCGGCTTTCATGAAGCTATCACAAGCAACAACAGCAATGACGAGAAGAAACAAAAAAGAAAGAACAAAACCAGAGAGAAACACGGTAACATGTGTCACACATGTTACTGATAGGCTTAGTCGTGTTCACAACTATACACACGTTCATAATCAGCATCATAGTCGTAGCAATAGGAATAGTTGTAATGGTAATTAGTAAGACGAACAATACAGCAGCAAAAAGAACACTATGAACCGCCTTTGAGCTTGGGTACTCTTCGCATCCATACCCACCGTCTCGATGATCTCGAAAGACTCGGGCATCACCTCCGGCGGGGTCGCAACCTGACGCCGGCGATGATGGGGGTTTCGGTCTCACACACGGGCCTTACCAACTAGTATACGGTTTGGGTAAGGTCTTCCTTTGTAAAATATGGGAGCCTTAAATTTTTTGGAACGTGGAGAACACATAAACAATCCTGGGTAGCCCTCGGTAAACTGCCGTTTCTAAAAGTTAATGTCCCTGCAATGGCACCGAAGCCTCAAACCCTAAACAATCTACACACAATGCTGTGAAACCTACAAAGCCCAAACAACAAATTACAAAACGGCCAAAGCCTAAAGCCCAAAACGCACGACCCTTAACCCTAAAGCCCAAAAGCTCATGCAAGATCCTTCTAACAAATTCATGCAACCCTGAAACCTCAAGCCTCAAAATCTCCAAGCCCCAAGCCTGTTCTCTAAAGGTCGTAGGGCCGCGGGCTAAGCTCTAAGCTCCATTCCAAACTAAGTTCTCAAACCCCGAACAACCAGAATACCCCCAAGGCGCAAAGAACCCGGCTTAGTCAGGTCATCAAGCCCGAACTCCTAAAAACGCTTACAAAGCTTACAAACTTCATGGCTCTGTAGGGCTTTTGTTCTTGTGTTAGAGTGTCTGTAGGCCTATGACTCCGTATATATTTGATAAGCTCACTAGTTCATCTGAGGCTACGCTCCCACACCACGACACCAAGGCTCTGGAAAGACTACCTATCAAGTGCCAGGTGTCCTGGACCACTTCACAATCCAAACATGGAAGTGTTGTTTGACGACTGGCGATTGATTACTATATCATTCTTAGCAAATTATTATCATTGTACAGTATGCTATATATTATAGTAACCATCTTAAAGGATTTGTAGGTTATATCGTGTTATGCTGGGAAGCTGCAAGCGGCAAAGCTGGGAAGCTGGGATCATTCAAGGCAGGAGAGGCAGCTTCGGGCGAGGCTTAGAGCTCAGGAAAGGGTTTAGGGTTTAGGGTTTAGGATTTAGGGTTTAGGGTTTAGGGTTTAGGATTTAGGGTTTAGGGTTTAGGGGTTAGGGCTTAGGGTTTAGGGTTTAGGGGTTAGGGTTTAGGGGTTGTTTCGGAGGAACCCTGGCCAACATGGAATGAGAGTCGGGAGTTGGGCTTCGCGAACATTGCCGCAGACTTTTTGCAAGCAGTCGCTCGTTTCGAAACAAGTTCAAGTTTAAATATAGCAAAGCCCTGGAGGCCTTTTGGCCAGCTTGACCTTGCGAAAGAGGCAGTATTACTTGACTAATTTAGTTGCTTGATCTGCGCTGCTGGCAACCGTTGCATGAGCATCCGTCATCACGCTGCGGAGCCCGAATCTGATCCTTGCCTCCGGCATCCATAAGTCTTTTGACAATCTTGCTTTCTCCTTGAAACACCCTTGTGACCAAGATGCATCTTTCACCTTCAGCATGGCGACATCTACGGAAGTCATACTTGCCGATGCTCTTGCATAGATCACACATTGTGTAGAGATCTGACTTGGATGCATTCTTTGCGAAATAGACACCCCTACCTAACAGTCATACTTGCCGATGCTCTTGCATAGATCACACGTTGTAGAGATCTGACTTGGAGGCATTCTCTGCGAAATAGACACCCCTACCTAACATCGCCTCGGCTGACTCTTCACCACGCTGGGCAACAAATCCCTGGGCAGCGACTTGCCCTGTGTTGCACAAGGTAGTGCCGTGAGAAAGCAGGTATTCGTTCATGTCGACCCAGCCCGGCTGGACGTCGCACTTGAAGGCAAAGATTCCTGCAATTGGAGTGCAGCCACAGCTGATATCTTCATCCGCTCTGCTACGACGTGCTGCTTCATAAAGAACCTTATTCGCAGGGCGAACCAACTCTTCGATGCGTGTCACAGACACCCTTGCCTGGGTTACCTAGAGGGTTCCCTTACTGGAACCAACTCGTAGACAAAAGGGTGCCCGTATGATTAAGGGGCTGAAGGAAAAAGTCTAAAAGGGTACTACCGGCCGGGGAACCTAGATACGATCGCGCACTTAAAACCCATTGCTAAACCCAAAACCCCCCCAAACAGGCAAAAGGGTACTACTGGGGAACCCAGTTGCCAGTCTCAATCGATGGCCAGCGATGGAGGATTGAAATTGCCGTGACAGAAAGGCATACTGTGGATCTTCTACACTCAAGCTTCTGCAAATATATCTCGTCGATTCATCCAATGGCTTTGGGGAAGCTGGTAAAGAATTATCTTGCAATGTCTTTGCCTGTCCTGCTCCAACACTGACTGAAGCTTCTCGGACTCATGAACATGACTGACTCTTCAATGTGGCATGTTCAGACTGCAGCTCTGCATACTGCTGATCGGTCTTTCTTGCTGAATCATGAAATTAAGTACTGGACGGACCAGGTCAAGTCATCGATGTGTCTTGCCTTGCTCTGAACGTCGTTTTCCAGTTCGTGGATCTCTTCGGCCTTCTTGCGTTCAAGTGGTGGTTCTCTTCATGCAACTGCTGGGTTTCCGTAGTCATCTTGAGTACGGCATCGGCGTGCAATGGAATTTCTCGTCTGCGTATAGCACGCATCTTCCTTGTCTTCACATTTGTCTGCGTCATGGCCCAGTGTGCTCACTGTTCCGCATCCGGGAGATATCTTCTCCATAAGTCCGGCTCTCGTTCCAGATACTCTCAGCACGCAACTGTCTCATACCTGCCAGAAGCTTCGGTGCATGTCCGTGTACCTACCTGACGGAGGCCATCCACAAGAGCTGCATTGAACTCTTGCTCTTTCTCAAGCATCCGGGTCTTGTCGTCTTACTTCTGCTCAAGGGCTGTGTTGGAGCAGAATCAACAAGCCTTTGTTGGACTTGCTCAACAGGAGCAAATCACTCTTGCTTGACGAAGATCCTCTCGAAGCTTTCTCACAACATCCACACCAGGGGCTTGATCCCGTTCATTAGGAGCTCGCTCCTCGACTCCATCTTTCGCAGTCTCTGAGCCGCCACGAGCTGCAGCTTCCGCCGTCGCTGAACTGCACACTTCAGCTTCGGCTGGAAGCCGCCGCCGCTTTCTGTTCCTTTTCTTCCTGTTCTTGCTGATTGCGAGAGCGCGCGAAAGACAGATCTGACAAAAGCAGCTCGAGCCGGGCGAAAAGTAGACAGCATATTATGGAGTCTAGTATTGAGATATTCTACGATAACATAGCGCAGTATAACAAAGCATATTTTGTAGAATGACCCTCCTATAAGCCCGAAACTCCCATTCCTTTCCAGCCCTAAACCCCAAGCCTAGGCCCCAATCTGAACCCCAAACCCTAACCCTAAACTTCCCCAAACCCTAATCCCCAAAGCCAGACCTGCTGCAACGCCGAGCAGTAGAGGAGACTCATAAGTCTGACCTGGGATTGAATTAAGGGTATAGGGTTTAGGGTGAGCAGCGCAAGTGTAAGGCTGAATACAGGGGCCTTCATGATCAGAATAGGGCTTCCTTGAAGGTGGTCTATGAGGAATGAAGTAAGGGACTCTATCAAGGCTTCCTGGCAGATGGCGTGCCCTTTCCACAAGTGTTTCGAAGGGCTTCAGACTCGGACGTGTCTAGATCTGTTTCGATTGAAGTTGCCTCAACGTTCTTCCGAAGATGCTGCAAATGTATTCCTTTGGGGCGACAATAAAGCCGAAGGAAATCGTGGATCACCTAGCCTATCCAGACCAGGCAGATCAACCGCACAGTCAATGCAGGACCAAGCCACTAAAAGCTGCTGAAACTTCTGCACGTCCTGCACGGGTTTCTCGCTGGAGTGCTGTGCGCAGCTGTGAGACTGAGAGCTCATGCAAAGTGGTAACTCTACCTAACCCTGTTATGTAAACATCGCAATATCAAACTGCGCACACCTTCGTGCTCTCTTTCTTAAACATCCGGGTGGGTATGAGCCCTGATTCAACCCCACCTCCGGGCCCCTTGGCCCAGGATCTTGCCCTGAAGGATTACATCTCACCAAGAGCGGCGTTGATTGTAAGTCCCCCCATAGACTTAGGACGCTTTGGGCACCACGGGTACAACTGCCCTGTAGGCGAAGCACAACAAAAAGACTCTGAAGTTGCAGAAACTGTTAGCTTCAACCCGACGCCGCGGACCTCACAGTCTTAGCCTAGCGCTCATGGAGCTTATAGTTCCGGTGTTCAAGGCTTCAGAGTTGCAAGTTCTCTTCTGGACGTCTCTAATGGAGCTGCGGTTGGGGTGGCGGGCTTGCAATGTGTTACATCCCCTGAGCCCTAAACAGTAAGCCAAGACAGCCATTCCCTAGTCCCTGTCCTCTCTCTTCTCCGGGTCTGTCGAGCAGAAAGCCAGCAGACTACCTCAGGTTTGGACCAAGTGATGTGCCAACTCTACATTTACATATATGTGTGAAGTATTTCTATATAGTAGGGTTTAGTGACATACGTGGTGGCAGATAATATGCGTACTCCAGGAGAACTACCCGAAATCCGAAACCCTACTGCTTGAGAACTGCCGCTAACCCTGCGCCGTAAACCAAATCTGGGTTGCCAGGCTAAGACACCTCCGAGACTTACCCGTAATCGCCATAAAGAAACAGGTGTCGGGTCGCGGGTTGAGGGCTTCGGGTGTCGGGTTTCGGGCTCAAGACTTTCTGGCCGAGCGGCTGTATGCATTGAACCACTCACCCCGCAGCTGCTGCATCAGCGTTCCACCCTGGCACGAGTTCCGGGTTCAAAGACTCAGGGCCATGGATCGATGCTTGAAGGCGCAGGGCTAAAGGCTTAAGGGGTTTGAGGCCAGCGGTTTAGGGTGCAGCGAGGGCTAATTTGCCTGCGGTTTGAACTGCCTTCCATGCGTTTACACAGCACTTGTTGTAGGGAGCGATGCACGGGCCTTGAAACATTAGACAGGGTCTTGGGGCATGCTAGAATACAGTTGTCAACTGTATTCCACCTCAATAATCATCGTTGTCATGCTTGCCCAAAGGCTCCATGTAGCCATATAGTAGGTACTTGGGCCTGAAAGTACCTCTTTTGGGACCCTTTTAAG